CATAAAATGACGCAAAAAAACCAAATTTTCGAAAAATTGTACATCACCTTATTTCAAAATATATCTTTAAGGAACTGATTTCATTGAGGGAAAAACTCTTATTGTTAATATTTTCGTTGTAGGAAGACGCCGAAAAAGGTTTGAATTTTTTCAAATTTCGAAAATCAGAGTATTATACCAACATGAGACCTACGCCATTCTCTTACACGTTTTTCAGACTATCCGCAAAAAAATTCAATCAAAATCAATGGCACCATTTTTTGAAAATTTTGAAAAGGTACCAGGGGCTTCATGTAAAGTACTCCCCAACATTAAAATATCTATTTCAAATTCAAGGGGCCGAGACATCAGCCAGATCAACGAAGGAATATCAATTTTGGAAAACATCGTCTGAACAGTGTAGCCGCTAGGGTGGTTCACAGACGGACCGACCCATCCCCAAGTCATTCAAAAATCTCTCCAGCACTGACAACTACAGACCCATTAGTTTTCTTCCCACTTTATCAAAAATCCTAGAAAAATTAATCCTTAAAAGACTAAATTCCTATCTGAATAAAACTCAAACAATCCCAATGCACCAATTTGGCTTCACTAATAAAGTTTCAACTTCTCATCAATTATTAAGAATCACGGAGCACATACACACAGCATTTAAAAAAAACAACACCATACAATAGTTACCTTTTTAGACATTTCGAAAGCTTTTGACAAAGTGTGGTATCCTGGATTAGTATTCAAGCTTAAAGAAATAGGTACCCCTAACTATTTAATTAATATCATAAATAGCTTTGTCCAAGATAGAACTTTTTGAGTCACAGTTAATAATCACACATCCAATCCCCGCAGAATTAGAGCTGGATTACCTCAAGGCTCACCACTGTCCCCACGCTTTTCAACATATACACAGCCAACATTCCCGTAACATCACATACGCACATCACCCAATTCGCCGATGACACCACAATTTTCATGTCCAATCATTCAACTTATCTAATTTGTAAACGAATTCAAACACATCTAAATAAAATTGATGAATGGTCTGTCAAATGGAAAATCAAACTAAATCCTACAAAATCATGCGCCAAAATATTCTCATTAAGAACATTTTCAACCCCAACACCACTCCGAATAAACAATAACCCAATTCCATGGACCTCACACAATGAATCTGTCAAATAACTAGGGCTGAATATTGATACCAGACGAAATTGTAAAAATCACATAACAGTAAAAGCACAGCAAGCCAAAATAAAACTAATCCAACTAAATACACTCTTAAATCGCAATAGTAAGCTCTCGTTAAACAATGCCATCACCATCTATAAATCAATAATAAGACCCCTAATGCTTTATGCATGCCTTATTTGGATAAATGCCTCTAAAACTAATAACAATAAATTACAGATCATCCAAAATAATTTCCTCAGACTTGCCACTCATGCGCCCTGGTTCATCTCAAACATTCAAATGCATAAAGAATTTAATTTACCTCCTATATTTTACCATTTTGCGCTCCTATCTAACAATTTCTTCTCCAAAATAAACACAATAACCCAAGCCACCCATTACGATCTAGCCACCACCTACCAGCTCCCAACAAGAATAAAATATAGATATCCCGAAGATTCATTCCTCAGAATATTTTCAGAACTCAATTAATCATATAGGTGCACTGTGAGTTTCCTATTCATGTGTAGTTAGATTTAGTTGTAAGATTAGCATTTAAGTTAAATATAAGTCATAAAATACATATGATGTAGTATAAATAACACTGAACTATGTACATTCGTTCACTAATAAATATATATTTGAAAAAAAGACGGACCGACAGGCGTTTTGCCATCAATCGACTTGTCACACAACATGGATTCTGGCCACATTAGAGGATGTTTTTCTAAATATAGCATCTGGATTTATCCTCTTTTTCATCACTAGGACCCTGTCATCAGGGTTTTCTGTCGTAAATTCCGCCTTTTTTCTTTCAGCATTACATAACTTTCTTTTCTTAAGTTCCTTCTTAAACGCGAGAAAGTAAAAAGAAACATACGACAGTGACACCGCGCCCTGTTAGTTACGTCACAGATGCCGTGCATCTGTAAGGGTTAACCATACTATGTTGCTCATTCACTTTTCTCTCTCAATCGAGTACTAGAGTTTTGTACAAAAATACTTTAAAGAAAACTTTTTTGTTTTTGTTTCTTGGGAAACGCATGTTAAAATTAATATTCAGACCCCGCTTAAAATGTTTAAGAATTTTTTTTCAGTCAGAAAGTCGATCTCGGGACTGAAATCAACGCAGTGTTTGAAGCGCAGTGTACATTAAATCGGTTTTGGAAAAATGTCGGTACTACTGTAAATATCTTTAGTTTTCAACACGCAAGTAGGAATATTTTTTCAAAATGGATATTTTGTTTTCAATATGACTAAACAGACCTCACGAATTTAGAGTATAACTGTAGATTATCTCATGTCCATATGGATATCAGATAATCTACGAGTCCATTTTCAAGATTACTAAAAGAAATTATAATTTTTTTTCTATAATTTAACATTGGAATAGGGAGAAGTACGTTTATTAACTCTGTAAGATTTTTATTTTCAATAAAACTTTTTAATGTTAGGAATTAATAAATCTTCATATTTGCTTGACAAATCCCAGATATCTTATTTTTCGAATTTTTAAGATAGCATAATAAATTTTGCAATAAACAATTTCAAAAAGATGTTCAGCAATTGCATTTAAGATCATAATAGTTTTTTCGTATAAATTAAATTGCGAGAGTTCCGGGATTTTGTTTTTTATACTTAACACAGTATATATGAAAAAACATTCAATCATTTTATTTATCTCTGTTTTAATTACGCTTGATTTTCATAGTATAAAAATGTTAAATTTTCCGATCTTCCCTACTAGTCTCGCATAGTTTTAAATTCGAACTTATCCAATGATTTAATGTTTTCACAGTGAACAATGTGTGCTGTTTTTCAAGGGTTTTCTTGTTGTTTTGACAGAGATGAGCAGTATACTATTTGTGATGGCGATAGTATTAATATTAATAATTTTGCTATTGTATATTACTCTTTCATACGTTTCGAGACAGTGATCACGTTTCCACGCTTTATATTACGGCCTTTTTATAAAGCACTCCACTACCAAATTCTTTAAGTTGAACGTCCATAAAACGACAGTTTTAAATTTCGAATTTTGGAAGCATTACTACAATGTAATGTTTTAGTATTCATATAGTATCATCGTGAACATTCTAAGTCGAGATATGAGTTTATTTGTTGTTTAATCAGTAATAAAACTTAGTAATACAATACATGAGACGATATCACTGTATCGATTGTTTGCCCAGAAGAAAATACGGAGTTATGTGTCTAATTTGTTAAATTTCAGATATCAAATCAATCAAATACTTTTAATAAAATATTTCTCATAATCTCCATCACTAATATTGCCAACAAAATGCGAGGATGTAGATGAGGGCACATACACTTCAAAGGGGTAAATTATTTTCTTTCTTTTTCAACTTCACTTTTATGCTTGGCAGACTTCCTGTGGCTCTTTAGGACACGCTATGGCATTGATGTTGTATCAATTTTGCATTTATATAAAAAAACATATATTACTAATACTAGTCATTGGAACAGTTTCGACCGAGAGATAAATTCGTTCAATAGTTCACTGATATTTCGTTGCTCTTTGTATATTTGTACGTTCAATATAACTTTTTTATAAAAGAGGTACTCAAATAAAAATTTGATTAGACATGCATATTTGCTAGCAACTCCTCAACTGCACACGGTTCCGAAACACCCTGAGACCCTGAATTTACTTCAACGGCTGATTTTACCAACCTCAAACAGAAGCTTTGACGCAAGTCAAATTACTGACAGCTCGTTAAACGTCGTTTCGCTTGATCATCAAAATATTGGTCAAATTTTGTCTCACCAGTACTCCTTTCGACAAACATTTGGACGGTTTGTTAATTCTTCTGTTGTGAGATTAGGGTGCATCGAACGGGTGCATTGTATTTATTTATTTATTTATTTATTTATTTATTTATTTATTTATTTATTTATTTATTTATTTATTTAATTTTCTTTTACGTTTACTCATCGTTTCACTATTTATAGTTAAAATGATGGAAAGGGATTCTGGAACTCAGGAAAACGTACGCAGATGATCTTCTCCCCCATACGTCACATACAGTTTTTACTGTTTTTTGACTAAATAAATCTAAACTAATAAATCTAACGTTTGCAAGCTGAGTTCACTTCAACAAAAGAAGCAGCCTCGATTACATCAGTAACATATCCAACAGCTTGAGTTGTCCATCTGAAGTAGTTCTGATGAAATGTTTTTACGTCATTTTTCTTTGTTTTAGGTCATTTTTAAAGCATTTTAAGAGCATTTTATTGATAATTTGTGGCAATGTTGCAGGTCATCAAATTTCACCGCTTAGTTATGACTCTGAGATTTCCATTAAGCATTGAGTATATATTAATAATGATAGTGCATCTCGCAAAACTTTGATTCTTTTTGTGAAACCACGATTGAAACATGTGAGATATTGGGCTCATTATGCTCTGCTTCAAGCAAAGTAAATTCTTTAACAAGGTATATTTGAAGAGAGATGGTTGATATATTTGTGCCAGATAATGCAATTTAGATGCCACATAAACAATGATAGCGGAGGGTGCTATGACGCTAGAGAGGACGCTCTACTAATAATATCTGTTGAGAGGAAGAATTAATGTAAATTGAGATTTCTTCCTTTGTTTGTCTTTGTAATACTCTGACAACTAGTATCACTTATTAGTATTTTTTCGAAACTTTGAAACTGAAATAATTTTCTGTCGAGAAAGTGGCAAGCGCCAATCTCCCGGACATCCCCTTCTAATATCCCCCTCTCCACCAAGGGCAAAGAGGTCATCAAGCTGTCACACCGTTACTTGTCAAGTCCGACTATATAAATACAGAAGAAACTCTTCTCTGTACAGTACTTTAAAGGAAATATTGTGGAAGGCGAGACAGTGATCGTTCTTAGCGTCACTAGGATCAAAATACTCCTTTTAGGTAAGTAATCTCAGGCATCGTGAATAACAGTGGGTAACAATTACAAATTTTCACATTTCAAAAGACAATACAAATGCACGAATAAATATTTTCACTTGATACGAATTGTAATATTTCCGTGTACATATTACAAATTTATGAAATACTGTTTGTTCGTTAGTGACATAGTTTAATTGCACTTTTTCGCAATATTGTCCCATTGGAAGAAAATGTTTACGACGTGCTTTTGTGTTCATAGGTGTTCTTCAAATTGCCCATGTTTATTGTGAATTGTCAATTAATATGTATCAACATTGTGTCAACATTTATCAATTATTATGTATCACACTTTCTTTGTTGGATATAGCTATTTTAAAGAGCTTGTAATTCAATATTTCATGTAATAGCTCTCGCTTCCCGAGTGCGCTTTTACTTCTCGTTTTAGTGCTCCTTTCAAATTTACTATGGTTGTAAAATGCAATGTAATTCTAGTTAAGAGCTGACAGATAAAACTTCTGAGAGTATTTGTGTGGGCAATCAGTTCTAAATTCTTATCAAACTAATGAATTCTCTTGTACAAAGAGATTCGACATTAATATTGAACCTTACAACTCTTGAAAAAGTTATAGACATTTCCTTTCGCATGTTTATTACATTTTCGGACTATTTGGCATTTCGAAATGAAAATTTGAAAGTGAAAATTCAGGCTGTAACGTGAAGTTGCCCTGGAAATATGTTTCTGGCTTGGAAAAATATACTAGACCTGGCCAAATAATTTATACTCTTTATTTATATGGTGTATTTTTTATGAAATAGACATTACCGAATAGAAGTACAGAATGTATGTACGAACGTATTTTCTTATTTTTGAGAACTTATTTTATGTTTGAAAGTTGGTTTTACATTGTTAAATTGGTTTGACATTTTTATTTTCAGCGTTTTAGCCGGTTTTGGCGAAAAATATGTATTATTCTCTCTTTGCAATGACTCTCTTTACCTTCGAGAGGAAAGGTCTAACTTTATGTATTTGTTTTAATTTAAGGTTGAAATGAAAATAGTCCCATATGATTCAGAGCATACAATGTTTTTAAAACTGTTGAGCCGTTATTCAAAAACATTTATTTGCGTATTTTTTCGATATCCCTCAAAATCCGCGAAAATGCTAATATTTTGAAAAACAGCACACGGCATAATTTAAAGTGATGATATCGACAAATCATTTGCAATAATAAAAGAATTTCTAGCATTAATAACGAATATGTACGAGACATTCGAATAAAAGTTAAAATTTTGTAATTGTCAAAAATTTAGAGTTTTTGATGAAATTTGAGCATTTACCTCGTTTATTGGCGCATTGCATTGCATTAGCACAAAACAAAATTACGAAAAATTCAGTGCAATCTCAAGAAAATTTTGAAATTGTTGCATGTAGACGTTATTTTAATAGCGACTCAACTTCACTTTTTAGACAAATGGGATAAATTCCAAGTTCAGTTCCACTCAAATCGTTTGCATTTACTCTGAATGTGTTTCAATTCTAAGTTATCTCTGTAGCCGACAGAAAACAGCACAAAATTGACGAAACATTGTAGATTACTCTCTATTTATTTTGATAATGATACAACTCCACTGAGTTCCGCGAGTAATGTTTAAGGTATGTCTGGCGGCAGTAGCAATATTTATGATGTCAGTTTTGACGACATTTGGGTGATAGAAAATTGTGATCACAAAAATAGTTTCCTACATGAATGGATTTTACACACTTAAAGCAGTTCAACATGGGCGTCCGAAAACTGTTTCAGAAAAGGAAGATATACAATTATATACAGCTGACGTTTGATCACTCATATCCAAAAGTTTGAAAAATCTTGTAGAACACAGTATTTAAGTAATTAGAGAACATTGTACTGAGTATATGTATGCTCAGTACAATGTTCTCTAAACGTTCTCTATATAAAATATTTATTAATTTTCAGAACCCCCTAAATTATGGTGTTAGTCCCATTTTCGGACAACCCTGTATTTGCAAAAACTGCAAAAAGTTAACATTTCAAAACTACAAAATTGAAGATAGAGATTTTTGCCTGAGACAAAGTCTGTTTGAAAAATAATTCGGGTTTGAAATCAATGCTATTTATAATTAAAAAATTCGAAAACAGCTCCACATTTTCTCTTCATTTTTTTCTACAGATAGAGGTTAAGAGGATGGTATGGGTTTCATTTTCGTTGAACTCTAAATTTTCGAATATTGCACATGTAGAAGCTTGAACGATTATTCAACGCGAATGTAGCGCTACGCGATTGCCGAAGTCATTATTTGCATCACATACCACTGTGGTCAATGCGTTTAATCACACAGCTAAAAAAATGTCAAAATATTAAAAGGCGATCGGATACGGTTAAACGTGGAGTATACATGTGTAATAGGGCATTGTGAGCGAATCAGTCAACAATAACTTGGCAGATTTTACCCATTTGCAAAATATCTATATCGGTATCTGGGACGTGTATCTCCATCAATATCATATATCAGCGTACTAAGTCGTGTATATCATGAAATATCGAGATCGTTTGTTGCATCTAAACATAAATTTTCTTTATATTGCATCCTGGAAACAATAAATACAACAACCACCTTCATCCACCGATTTGATCCGCAATTATTTTTAAAGAGGTCTTACTCTTTTTTAATTGGTATATATCCTTTAACTGCCTAAAATTCCGCGTAGGAAGCATTATTTTTATTCACTTAATCGGTAGATAAACAATATCTAACTAATATTATTGGCAAGCAAACGAATCATAACTCATAGAGTGCAGCTATTATCCAAGAAACGCGAGACAAACTAAGCAAGTACTTGCATGATTACAATATGATTACGATTGTTTTTTTTCCAATCTTAATTTAGGAGAAATGTGCGTAGTCATTTTGTATCTTTGTTGTACGCTTCGTTCCGACTGATTACCAATACCAATTAAATGGGGGAATACCAATTTCGGAGAAAATCCGCTGAACGGTTGAGGCGCTAGCGATGACCACAGACGGGCAGAAAGACGTTTTACCGTCAGTAGATTTTTCGGTATCAATGACACACAAAACGTGGATTCTGGCTTCACCACGTCAGGGAGTGCTCATTCGGCTGCGCAGTGGAATACATTTTGGTCGTCCTGCGCATGACGTCACAGTCGAGAAAGTTTAAGTAAATTGTCATGTGAAATACTGGTGCGTGTGTGTTCTTTGCGGTTTGTGAAGTATTGGTGATGCCTAAAATATACATTACCGGGATTTAGATTATATAATATTAACTTACAATTTGCAGTGTCAGTGAAAATGATGGTGTAGTGGAGTGCATGTTTGTAACGTGTTTGTGTTTACAAGTTGACGTTAGGTTAGGCTAGGTTAGTTTAGGGAGCTAATTTTATTATATTCTGCGAACATGCAATGTACAATGTCAGTTTGTGAAAAATACAATCAAAAATCTAAAGGAAGTGATGTAGTGTATCATTCGTTTGCGCAAGATCCTATTCTGAATAGAAAATGGATTCATGTTTGTAAATACGCATTTAATGAACAGCATGCCACTATGTGCAGTCTTCATTTTAGGAAATACGATTACTTGAGAGATTTGAAATTTGAACTATGGGGAAGTTACATTTTGCCCAAAATTGACACCTGCTCGTATAAATGTTGTCGGAGGGTCCGTCAAGAAGTTCATCTTGATTTACAGTCTAATCATGTTGCACAGGTAATATCTTACCTCTTGCCTCATAAACAAGAAATATATAATTTTATTAAGATAGAAAATGATGCGTTTGACGTAATGAATTCAAGGGTTCTGAATCTGACGATTGTCCTATAGCAATTGCTTTTGAAGTGCAAATGCAAGCTCAAGAACAATTACCGAAAACATTTTGTTCAGTTTGTGAGACTATGCGGTTTGGTAAAAGAAATACCTTACATCCATTCAAAAAAATTATACATAATTTCAATTCTTTATCTGATTTCTTGTCACAAACGACTTGAAAACAATTACAACATCAAATATATCCGTACATCTCGATTGAATCAAGAGTGCTTGGAAATTTTTTCTCGGATAAGAGTAACAGGAAGAACATACGACCGCTCACTACTTTTTGAATTCAAAAGTCGCTTACGTCTTGTAATAATGAGCAGAAATGCTACAAATATAATAGTACACAGTTCTTGTACGTTAAATTAATGTTAATCTTATCCCGCGTCATGTCCATCCACTTCAGAATGTACAACGAAAGGTCTACACTATGTAGCTTGGTAGAAAAATAGTTTCGGGGTGGTTCTATTGACCCAACAAATAATTGGTTAAATACAATAAACGAGATTGAAATTATTATTTTCACAATTCAGTGGACAGCACAGTGAATGCAAAGACCTTAATGTGGTACGCACGTTTTAAAATTTTTTCACATAAATTTTCATAAACATTGAGGATTCAACCTCAAGTAAAATCGCCCTGGTGTATAAAATTATACACCAGGACAAGGATATTTATTAGGATGCGACATTGAAATATTGAAGCCAAAGCAAGAAAATATGCTGGACTTCACAATCGAATGGCACAAAAGAGTAGGTTTCATTTTCTTGTTTCAAAACAAAAGTTAAGGTACTTATGTTTATTTTGTTTCTTTTCTTGTTTTCGTATTTTAATTTTTTTCGGAATAACTAGGGAGTGATTGAATTCTATAAAATGTAATGTGATATCGTATTTTCCAAGGAACGGGTTAAAACAAAGTTAAATAATATGAGCCGATTGCATCTCAAGTATAATTTAAAATGCCCTGTGGAGTGCTATTTGAAACATTTTTGGCTGGGTTATCACTCAATTTAAAAAGCTCCTTTCAGAAAACTAGCTAATTGGTTTCAGATATTATTGTTCTTTATTATGAGTAAATATTAATACTCTACTATATATTAGAATATTTAGCGTTATTTGATGTTGTCTTCAAGCAGCTGCATGGTCGATATTAAGGAGTTTTAGCGCCAC